TTTCCCAGATTTCAGAAAACAATACTGTGCCACATGCACACAGAATGATGTTTCCCAGACTAGACAACTGTGTATGACTGTGACAGTTCTGCCATGTTCATCCGGAACAGCTTGATGCACAGCTTCAAAATTTTTTCAAGTGAAAAGTCTTATAGGAAAAATAAAATTAATTCTTCTATCAAAAGTGAGGTTCTTTACTTGTAGTCAAATATTTATTTTCTCTCTTTGCAAATGGCAGGGCTTTGGAGCCACTGTCTGGCGTGTCTCACCATGGCCTACAAGGCCCTCTGCACTCCCTACCTCCTCTCCTACTGCCGTCTCCTTGCCAAAATTGTTCCCATAAAGCCTGCACATTTATTTTCCCCTCTGTCAGGAACACTGCCTCAAACTTGGGTATGGTTGGTTTCCTCTCATCATTCAGACCTCAGCCCAAATGTCACCTCCTCAGCCAAGGTCTTCCCTGACCACCCAACCAAAAGCAGCTTACTCCAGCCCCCAACACATTGTTCTGTTTTATTTTCCCATAGCACTCACTATCTCAAATTATATCAATTAAGTATTACTTGTTTATTGCTCATCTCTTCCCTCAAAAGTGTAAGCTCTATGGAAGCAGGAACCTTGTCTGCATTGTCATCCTCCCTCCCTACCACAGAGCCTACCTACTCAGTGAATGCTTGTGGAATGAAAAGATAGACTGCTGGAATATTATTCAGCACTAAAAGGAAATGAGCTATCAAGCCATGAAAAGACATGGAGGAAAGTTAAATGCATGTTGCTAAGTGAAAGAAGCCATCTGAAAAGGCTACACACTGTATGATTCCTACTACATGACATATTGGAAAATACAAAACTATGGAGACAGTAAAAAGATCAGGGGTTAAGAGGGAGGGAAGGATGAATAAGTGGAGCACAGAGGATTCTCAGGGCAACTCTGTATGATCTTATAATGGTGGATACATGTCATAACATTTGTTCAAACCCATAAAATGTGCAACATCAAGATTGAACCCTAAGGTAAACTATGGAATCTGGGTTGATAACGATGTGTCAATGTAAGTTCATCGACTGTAATAAATATACCACTCTGGTGGGAGATGTTGATAATGGGGGAGGCTATACGTGAGTCAGGGCAAGGGGTATATGGCAAATCTGTGTACTTTGCCCTTGACTTTGCCATGAACCCAAAACTGCTCTAAAAATAAAGTCTATTAAAAAGAAAAGATATGGTGCCCAAGTTGTCAAAATGGTTTAAGTGTGTGAGTGGAACACTGAGAAAGATTATTTGATGTTAGGATTGTTCTGGGAAAGCTAGAGCTCAGGGAAGCCTAAAGCAAAACTTCAGGCAGTGTTTTTCAAATTGGAGTTCCATATTCTGTGCTCAAATAAGTTAAACAGGTTTCTTTACTGAGGGACTGAGTATTCACCCAGCTCACACGTGTATTGTGAGTCTCTTGGATGACTAGCATATACAGCTGTTTCCTAACATTTGATCCAAAACCCATTCTTCATGCCACGTCTTCATCTTTACTGAGCCTAAGTCCAGCTGAATGCCAGTGTTACTCTGTAGAGCAGTTTTAAATAGTCCAAATACTTCTCCTTAGAACTAATCCAACATAATTTAGTTATTTATCTTGTGTGGCTGATTCCAAACCACTAGAATCTAAGTTCCATGAGAACACTGTTTTTTGTCTGTTTATTCACTGTCATGTTACCAGTGTCCAGAGCACAGCCAGGCACATAGTAGGTGTTTAATAAATATTTGTTGAAAGAATGAATGAGGAAGTGAACAAACAATTTTTATTCTGTCCCCAAGTCCTCAGTGAAGAGGGCAGAAATTTTGGTACAAGGTAATTATACCAAATTCTGATCTATGTGGTTCATGTTCCTAGGCTATTTGTGTGATATTTGTTCTTGCTGCTGGTCTTCCCAGTGTATTTTTTCTGGATGGACAAGTTGGAAGAGTTAAGAAAATGAAGCAGGAGTGAGGGCCTTGGGTTCTGACTCGACTCTATAGGTGATAATAATAACTAACATTTGTATTCTAATTTTCTTCCAAAAGTTATTGCATTTGGTTCTCAAAATATCCCTGCGAGGCAGGTGTTATGACCTTCATTTTCAGGTAGATAGGCAGGCTTAAAGAGCCTCTCTCCACTCAGGTGGTATTAGATCAGCCTTGCTCTAAACCTTGGTCTTAACATGTCAAAGTCCATGTTTATTCCATGGCACCTAGCTGCCTCCCTCGCCAGTTGTGCATGCTGGGAAGCCACCTCCCCTTTCCAGGCCTTGGTTCCCACGTCTGGAAAATGCCCAAATGATCTCTTCGATTACTTCCAACTTTAAAATCTATGACTCTATCAGCCTTTTTTTTTTTCTCCATTACCTATTTAAAAAATTGCTATAGCTTTAGAAAGTAGTAAAATAATGAGATTTCATTTCTACTTGTAATTGCACAGCTCTTCCAAAATCTGATTCGGGTGTTAAATATCAAATAAATTATGGAAATTTTCCCTTTCTTTGTAAGTACTGCCTAGAAATAGAATACCTTGAAAAAGAACGAATTTGTTTTGTTAAGCATAGTGCCCTCGAAGGGTCTTCATTATTAAAAAAAATGCTATGAGAGGATTTTTCTCTGAGCTTATCTCAAAACAATAGATATGGAAGAAAATATGGCAAATTTCTAGAAATGAAGCCATTCAGAGCAGAATAAAAATAAATAAATCTGAAATATTTAATCACCAAGTAGCTAAATAAGTAAATGTTTCCAAAAAGAAAAGGCAAAACTTAGTCTTCAGTTTATTTACCTGGTAAATTCGCTTTGTATGCAAAACATTTGTATTATTCACATATCCTTGTCTATTTAAACAAGGCAATTAGACTACTGTTGGGCCACACAGCCAACAGAGCAAGTGAGTTGTATGTGTTTCTTCTCCATAGGGTATTTTGTTTTGTCTCAAACTTTTATTTGCAGCCACGTAGAAATGACCTACTTTTGGTGTCACACGAAAAAACTTTACACGGAAATATTGTATTTGCACATCCTTTTTTGGGTTTTATTTTGCTAAAAAGTAGAATTCACAAGGGCCAAAAAAATAAAAACCATGCAAAATATTTTTGTGCACACCTCTAACACACTACATTCCACTTATGAAATCTTAAAATTAAAAAAAAAATCCCAAAGCAAGAGTATCTTGGTTGAAAAGTTAACATTATAAAAGCTAGATTCCTAACACAAACACTGCAGACACGAGCCACTCAGTTGCAAAAAGTGAATGTTTATGAATGTTAAATAAATGTCAACAATGAAGAGACAAGAACTGTAGATCCCACGTGTACTCCCCACCAGGAACTCGTAACAATCGTGCTGGTGTTGTAGCATCTCCATGACGTTCACTTGAAACGGTACAACCTGAACCCCGGTGCTATGCCAAACTTACAAACACCGAGGGAACCATACTGAAAACTACCTCCTTTTCTTGCTACCTTTAAAATATTTTGTTTGTTTTGTGTTTTGGTAAATACGAGTCCCTCAGAATCTACACTAGCTCTAGGATGTAGAAACACCAATTCAATAAATGACCATGATGAAGTTCTCCTTTGAGATAGTTCACTTTTCCTTTTAATGATCATACACTTTTTAATAATCATACACTTTTTAATGATCATGTGTGTGTGTTTGCGCGAGCGTGTAAACCCTTTTAAGAGATATTTTTGGAAACTTAACTCTAGGGAACATTTTCCCTTTTCTCAAGACCAGTCCCTGATAATTTAATAGTTTTTATTTTGTTTTTTTTTTTTAAGGAAAAACCTGCCTAGAGCCTTTCTGTACAGTCAGCAACCTCCTTGTCTCTGTGTATTTGAACTTCCCCAAAATAACAGAATGCTCTGAGGTACTTGTTTGCAACTCCTGGAAAACCTCCAGGCGCTCCCAGCAGAATTCACTGCCTGGTACTTTATATTCACTTTCTCACTGCACCAAAGGTAAAGGAGGGCCCTGGTGCTCCCTGGGGATGGTGGTGGCTTCACCCGTGGAAAAAAAATACGGGCTTCCTGCTAGGGAAACATCTAGCTGCTTCCTTCTCCCTCAGGGAGAAGGGACACACTCAGGTAGAATGGTAGTCCCCTGGAAGCCTCAGTTCTCAGAAGAAAAAGTGTTCTAATGCATTCCCATAAAACATTTCAAACGTGCAAAGAGAAAATCCAAACCACGAGTGAGGAGAGAGTAGCGGTGAATTGGAAAAGTGCCTTAAGTACTGTGCTCAAGTGCGAGACACCCACCCCCAGTGCCCGCCTCAATGCCAGGTTCAAGGAGCACACAACAGTGCTTCCTACAAGGGAAGGGGACGACCCCATTTCCAGCCTCAGAAACTAAGCTTCTCTCTCTATCACCAAACAGCTTTAAAATGCTTACTTAACTCAGACTATCACTAATACTTTAAAGAAGTTTGAAGACCCAAGTCTATTTCAATAAATACTTAAATAATTGCTACGTCAACTCAGCTCATACGTTTTCAAAATATTGGCCAAAATGGCGAATGACTACATATAGCAGTCCATCTCTTCCTTCCGGCAGTCAACACAATTATACATAATCAGTGTGATGGATTTAAAGGAACATATGAGAAGGATAGTGCAGATCTGAGGTGGGAGGTCCTGCCAACTCGTGCGTTCTTACTGAGGTTGGCAGAGTGTAAGGTTCGTCTTCTCCACCCAGAGCTTGAACATGTTCTTGGCTTATTCTGCCATCCCGTTTCAGACACTCTCTCTTTTTTCCACAGGACTCTAAGTCTATTGGGGGAAGGGTGCTGAGGAAGACGTACTAAATGAGCAATCATAGGACTGGGAGTGAAATACATGCACAGGACTAGACATTCATGCTAACGAACCTCATAAAGCGAAACAAAGGCCAAACACAACCCAGAGTGGTTTTAAAATATCCTCTCACACACAGCAAAGCAAAACTGGAAAAACCCAATTCCACTTTCCCGTCACAATTCAAACAGGAGCGAAGCCTTCAGGGGATATTGAATGTTTCAGACTGAAAGAGGGTAACTGAAGAGCCCATCTTTGCTCAGCAGTGTGCAGGGTGAGCCCCAGCCCTCCCAAAGCCCCGTCAACTGCCCAGGGCTCCCAGAACACATCTCTTCGGATGTCTGGGCTCCCTTCAGAATGCTCAAGTCTGTTCAGGTCTGAAGTCTGATGTGCAGAGGTAGCTCCATGGCGCTGGTCATGGAATAACACTTCCTTTTTTGGTGAGGAAAGCCCAATCGGTCTTAGCTCATAAGCTCTCAGCTATGGCTCTAAAAATACCCTGCAGCCAGGACTGTTTGGCACTTCGTTTGTTTGCCAGAGGAGCTCTAGAAAACTCCATAGACGCTTCAGATTCTCCACAACTGCTCTGAGCCCCGTCCCTGCTCTGGGGACCTCAGGGACATGTATCACTTTGGGAAAGTTACTTTTCGTATTTCACTTTTGAGTTCTTGGATTCCTGTCCTAAACGTTTGAAGTACAATTCCAGTCTTGGATTAATTACTAGCTTGGTTTAGGAATCTTCATTTGGCTTCTAGTCTGAACTATGCAAATACATGATCTGAGTGCAGAAGAAAGGACTAAAATTATACTTCAAAAGGGCTCAGTTGCTTCCTGTCTTCCCCCTTTCCCCCTAAAAGAAACATCAGCCTCCCTGAATCCTTTGTTGCCAGCAGCAGGAGCAGCTCCCAGCCTGTCCGCAACAGACGCCCTGGGCTCCCTACACGTTGATGGCGTGCGCGTGCTTCTTGCACAGGGGTTTGTCCTTCTTGGAGTAGAATGGCTGCCCCTCCAGATTCACATGACAGACCTAGGACAGAGAACAGATTGTCATGAGACGGGGCATCACAGCCCATGAGGCAGGGAACATGGGCAAAAGATTTCAGTCACCCCTTTAAGACAAAGCACTGTCACACGCAGACTGGAGAAAAGGTAACAGGCTGTTTCTTCCCACTTCACATTCTTCCTGACTGAAGTAGAGTAGATGGGTTGAACTATATAAAATTAAAAACTTCCAAAGAAGAACATGGAATAAAACTCAAACTAACTTTTTTTTTTTTTTTAAAGATTTTATTTATTAATTTTTTTCCCCCCAAAGCCCCAGTAGATAGTTGTATGTCATAGTTGCACATCCTTCTAGATGCTGTATGTGGGACGTGGCCCCAGCATGGCCGGAGAAGCGGTGCGTCGGTGCACGCCCAGGACCCGAACCCGGGCCGCCAGCAGCGGAGCGCGCGCACCCAACCGCTAAGCCACGGGGCCGGCCCCCAAACTAACTTAAATTAACTAAATTTAATGGAATAGAGAAAATATACACGATGAAGATGACCAATTGATGCTATCCAAAATTTATAAGGAACCAATATAAGTTCACAAGTCAATATCCACAGAGATAATTAATATCTAAAGAAATACCATTAGTAAACCATTATGGTAGTAATACCATTAATATCTAAGGAAATACCATTAGTAAACTAACAATCATGTCAGAAAAAATTATCCTCACTAACAATTAAAGGAAAAAGAAATGAAAACCTCCATGAGATACCACTAGACACCTATCTGTGAATCTAGCAAAATAAATAAAACACTAAACTCAATGGCTTGTCACCTTTAACCGTACAAGAGTGTAGCCAAAAAAGTGGAAAAAAAAAATGGAATCAATCAAAAGTCAGCAATGCCAAAAGGGAATCAGGCCTACTTGTGCACTGCTAGGGACACACGAATCAACTCAGTCTCTGTAGGGGATGCAGCAACCCTGAGGAGGAGCCATAAAGATGTGCCTGCCATGTACCCAGTAACACCACTCTGGAGACTCTGATCTTGCAGAAACTACTGCGTAGAACAAGAAAGCAATGTGTGCTCAACTAAAAACCGAAAACCACTAGAATTTCTCTCAATAGGGTCATGATTAAGTAAATTTTTATGGTACATTTTTCCAACGGAATGCCACTATGAAAATAAGAAATCATATATGGAAAAATGAATGCACAGAAATATTATATGTAAAAAAACAGAGGCAAAATTATATATCCCCATGATGATAGCATACAAATGCAGTTTGAAGACAGAGACGTCACAAAAAGAAGGGAGCTAAGGAATATCTGTTGAGGCTACTGTGTCAAGCAGGATGTCAGACACTCTACATACACAATCTCGTTTACTTCTCACAAAAAGCTTAGGGGATAGGTATGACTTTTCCCCATTTCACAATTGAAAAACCGAGGCTGAGAGAGCCCAAGTGTCTTGCTTAAGTCACAGACCTACTAAGTTGCAGAGCTGGGAATCCATGTCTACCTAGGTCTACAAGACTCTGGTCCTATGCTAATTTTTCCCACGCCCCACAGCAGAGAGGGGCTGTGTTTACTTGAATTTGTTCTGGGCTTACGGACTTATACAGAGGTAGCCCTCTGAGTTTGTTGGACTACCAATATGTAGGCTGGCCCTGGGTGGGCAATATGCCAATGTATCACAGTCGGCTGGGAAGTCACGTTGACTGGGATGGGCCCCAGCCTCAGAAAGGGCAATGAGGATCCCTAATAGGGAGCAGAATTGGAGGCCACATCCAGGACAATGACAGTGGAAGAAGTGCAGATGGAGTTCTCACATACGAGTAGGCATGAGGATTGAGAAATCACCCTCCTGAGATGAGCTTGGGTCAGTGAGCATGTGTCTACTCCAAGAGAGTTGGAAAGAAAAGTGCCATCATGGTGGCTCCATGTACAAGGCCCTGATGGCCAGTTGAGGATGTTATACATGGGATCACACAGGGCTGCCAATAGGTTCTGGAAGCCAATGACCTGAAAAAGTGTCTGAAAACATCCCAGGTGGTTGTAGTGATGCTGAGTGTAACTAGGCTCTTGTGGTGGCCTCAAGCTGCTGGTGACAAACTGGAGACAAGTCCAAGAAGGTGGCACCCAAGATCCAACTGGTGAGGATGGGTTTCGGGGGAGATAGAAGGGCAGCTCTGGGCCGGCCCCGTGGCTCAGTGGTTAAGTGCGCGCACTCCGCTGCTGGCAGCCCGGGTTCGGATCCCGGGTGCACACAGACGCACCGCTTCTCCAGCCATGCTGAGGCCACGTCCCACATACAGCAACTAGAGGGATGTGAAGCTATGACATACAACTATCTACTGGGGCTTTGGAGGGAAAAAATAAATAAATAAAATCTTAAAAAAAAAAGAAGGGCAGCTCTGGAGTGAGTGGGCAAGGTGCAGCCTGTCAACATCTGGGGCTCTGGCCAGGAGACCCTGCCTGGTCTGGGACAGTGCTGGTTGCTTCTGAGAACTCTGGGATGAGTCAGGCTGGAAAGGGTACTGGGGGACTAAACACTAAGGAGTGAGGAAGGACCAGAACCTCAGAGGTGGCTCATTGATAAGATGGGGCTGAGGGCATGAACTGTCATCAAGAAGTCATGCTCAGTGTCTTGGGCCAGGAGACTGCAGGTGGGATGCAAGTTGGCCTCATGGTGGAGGATGCCTCCAGCCTACCCAGCACACGGGCACAGCAGGATAGTCCAACCCCCAGGCTCCATGGTGAAGGGGCATCAGGGCCTGGCTGGGAAGGAGTGGTGGCCATGGACAGTGCTGACCACAGAGTGGAAGGCACTGAAATAGGCCATCTGCAGTGGCCCCTAGGACTGCCCACAAAAGTTACACCACCACCCATCCCCTCCTGAAACCCACACCAGTGGGGAAGGGCTGGAAACCAACTAGACTTGGAGGAAAAGAGGGGCCAATAAGACATCTTTCCCCACTAAGGTAGGACCCAAATCTGTTCCATTGGAATTTAAGTGCCAAAGCCAGACAGGAGCTTACCTGACCCTGACCCACACTGCTCTTCTCAGCCTTCATTTTACATGCTCAGGACTTCAGAGATGCTGCCTTGTTCTGTTCTTTAACTGCTCATATATGTCAGCTTTGTTTTCCTTTCAAGATTCTAAATTCCTTGAAGGTGGAGACTTGCTCTGGGATACTTCTGTATTCCCAAAACTCAAGGAGTATTGGGTAAACTGAATTAGTCTAAAGTATGTGCTCTCCTGAGATGTAACTGATGGGAAAACAGTACATCAGCTGGGAGAGCTGGTCCTGATCTTCCTTTCTTACTAGTTTTCTTTTAAGTTATATGAAAATATATGCTCATTAGAAGTGATTTGGAAATATAAAGTGATGGAAAGAGGACAGGAAAAAAGCCCTCAAAGTTTTCCAATCAAAAGATTGCCTTCCAAAAATTAAAACCAGGTTCCACTTTGCTCTATCTTAATGGGGCAGTGAGTGCCACACAGGGCTAGTTTGGGCAAAGACGTGATGATCATCCATGCTGATTCTCTGAAGGATGGGATCTACCTGGTTTCTTTGGGCAGAGCCTTTGGGCAGTGCTATGGGTATCTCACACCTGGCTGGAACTTATTTGTAACCTCAGCCAGAACAACCCCAAGCTTTGCTGCTGCCTCTGCTCTCTCTCTGGGATTTGTGCACTCGTGACTCTCAGCCAAACATGGCAGGCTCGAGGGAGCAGATGCACGCTCACCTTTGCCATGCTTCCCTCTCCATGCAACACAGACCTCTCCTCAGCCTGCCCTCGGAGAACAGGCCTTCTGGGCCACTGTCTTCCCTGGACCTTCTCCAAGTCTCTTGGATCCTTCTAGAAGTTGAGTCACTAGATTTGCAGGCAGCATCTTAGGATCAGACAAGCCATGGCTTGAATGTAAGGGTCAGAGAGCCCGATGCTGTGCTGTGCCAAGCCATGGCTCTGCAGAGGACAACCCTAAAGCCAGTATATTTATATCGTTGTCTCTTTTTGGAGGAGAGGCCCTGATGTATTTAAAAGGACCCTAAAAGGCAACTAGAGAATCTGTTCAAAGAGCTGAAAAACCAGAGTGCTATGGATTGAATTGTGTCCCCCCACAAATTCATACGTTGAAGTCCTAAACCCCAGTAGCTCCAGCCTAGCCAGCGCAGGGACACAGTGGTGACCTTATTTGGAAATAAGGTCTTTGCAGATATAATTAAGACGTAAGTTAAGATGAGGTCATACTGGAGTAAGGTGGGCCCTTAATCCAATATGACCAGTGTCCCTATAAGAAGAGGAGCAACACACAGAGACAGACACACACACAGAGGAGAATGCCATATGAAGACACAGACACACAGAGAGAAGACAGCTATGTGACGATGGAGGCAGGCAGAGACTGGAGTTACGCAGCTGTAAGCCAAGAAACACCACGGATTACTGGCAACCCCCAGAAGCTAGGAGAGAAAGCATGGCCCTGCTGATTTGGACGTCTAGCCCCCAGAACTGTGAGAGAATAAATTTCTGTTGTTGAAGCCATTAAACTGTGGTACTTTGTTAACGCAGCCCTAACAAACTAATACACAGAATAAATACAATGCACCCCACAAATGGGGGGGCATATAGAAATAAAGTGTGAAAACTGAAGTGTATTACAGTAAACTTTACGACTAGGATTGTCCTATATCATAAGTCTATAAAAATTATTCAAGTTTAAATTATATAAATCTTTCATACATTCCTAAAATTTACCTTGAGCAGCTCTGGTTAAAAAATAATAATAATAATAGTAGTGGTAGCACATTAATTTTCCCAAATAAAATTCAGTCCAGTACAGACTCATATTACAGGGCCTCATCAGGGAGGACTATTCCTAACTCTACTGCAGAGTCTAAACATCACTGGGCTCATTGCTGTGTCCCCTCCCCAACCCAAAGCCCTTGGAAGGAAAATGCCAATCTCATGGTGAAAATGACCTGGCTGTTCAGCAGAAATAAACTGCATATGGTTAATAGTTAATCTAGGGCTTATCTCCTGGCAACAATATATCAAGAACAGGACCATTTAGGAAAATGAAATGATAGTTTTGCTTTCTAAAGGTTCTATCAAAAGAAACCTTATCTCAGCTTTTCATAGGATTAGTCAATAAGCTCCAACCTAGTGTTCATGGTGAAAATTTGGGGGGAAAACCCTTGAATCACTTCATCATATCTAAAACAACATATAACCATAGGAAGCCACCCGCCCCTATTTAAATCCAAGCGTCACTGGCTGATCCCACCTATTGAGAGCACCACTGGTGAGGCAAGTTGCTGATCTGCCAGATCCTGGGACATTCTGTTGTCCTTCATGAAATGGAAAGTAACAAAGCTACATTGGTTTATAAATTATTAATAATAAAACTTTGCTCAACTGTGACATATCAAGGCATCATGGTATCTGCAAGCTTTTAAAAATGATCAGAATATCAGGATGCCAGAGTTGAAAGGGATGTGGAGCGTTGGTCATCTGGCCCCACCTGGTCCCTCCTGCCCCTTCTCAGAAAGCCAGAACCCCAGGCTAAAAACATACTGCGCAAATGAAGCAGGTGTCGTGCCAGGTGTGTCCCAGGGCTTCAATAAACTTGTCACCGGCCTCCACAGGGAAATCGCAGCCATGACACTTGGTGCTGAACAGATTGATGTAGTCTGAAATGAAAGGCAGAGTGAGGACCCGGCAGCCAGGCAGGCTGGGAGGAGCATCCCGGCCACATCAACCCAGTGCCAGGACAACTCCCCAAATCACTGGGCTGGGGGCAGTGGCTGAAACCCAACTGGTTACTTGTCATCTTGTAGACAAAATACTCAGTTATATGATTGGGTTTGGTTTTTTTTCCCTTTTCCAGTAATTCGCACTGGGGTTGTGCAGATTCAGGCTAGTCACTACCCTGTGCTGGTTTGATTTGCAAACGCTTTCTAGAACTGTCATTAACTTTCTGCAGGATGATTTTCTCCTCCGCCTCTGTCACTTCTTATAGGCGAAACAGACCAACCCCCAAAAAGAAAAAAAAAATCACATTTCCCAGCAGCTATGGTTATTTGGAAGAGTAAGAGCCTGTAATATTTTTAAGAGTTATAGAACGTTCTTTACTTGGCCATTCTTCTGTCATTGGGCATTTGTGTTGATAACAAATTTTCACTACTAGAAACAATATTAAGCTACTTTCTTGGGACATAGCCCCCACCGCCCCAGCCAAGGAGATAATAATACCAAATATAATTTGTATAATGCTTTACAGTTTACCAAGCATTCTCACATAGATGGTATTATTTACCAGCATCTCAATGCCAAGGTCTATGTATTAGTTTTCTTTGTACTCCCAGCACAGTTCCTGGCACGCAAGTCAGTACCCAACACATACATGTTGAATGAATGAGTGAATGGATGAACCAATGAATCCATAAATCAATGAATGAACTTAATCTTCACAAAATCCCTCAGAGATTGACCTATTATTGTTTTTCTGTTTTGTTTTGTTTTATTCTGTGGATGAGGAAACTGAGGCTCAAAGAGGTGAAGGGCCTGGCCAGAGTCACAAGGCTGAGACACAGGGGCCAGGTCCCATGCTTCTCCACCACAGGAGCTGTCCTCTCTGGGTCACAGGGGCAGCAGTTCTACTGCACTCACTCTGGAAGTCTTCCAGATTCTTCTAGAAAAGCTTGATGCCTTTTACAAAGCCTTCATTCCCCCAGAAGTGTACTTGTCTCTCCACGGCTCTGCCATAGTTGGCTTTTTCTTACAGCGAGTTTCTGCTCAGATCTCCTCATGAACAGTGTGCCCGTTCACTGTCTTACCACATGCTGAGAGGTAGTGTGCCATGGGGGTTGTGAACTTGGGTTCTGAGGAAAGACAGAGCTGGGTTCAAATCCCAGCTTTATAAAGGAATTCTTCAAACCTGGGGCAAGTCACCTAACTTCTCAGCGTCTCAACTTTCTCATCTAAATAATGGGAATAACTGTAGCATCTAACTCATGGGGTTATACAAATTAAATAAGATAATGTATGTGAAGTACTTGGCACAAATACTCAAAGATTTTGGCTCTTATTTTGAATGTCTTTACAAATGATGAAAGGAGGGAAGGAAATGTGATTTGAGTGCCTACTATGTCCCAATCCAATATTAGTGCTTTTCTACATTTCTTGTTTAATTTTCACGGCAGCTCTGTGAAGAAGTGTTATTCCCATTTTAAAGTCAAGGAAACTGCCTGTAAGAGGTTCCATCACAGAAGCAGTAAGGAGCCTGATGGACTCCAAGGTTCACCCTCTTTCCATGACTGTACACTGTCTCCACTTATCTATTTGCTGGTGAGATTTGATGAGTTATATCTCGTGCATATTTTTTCCAATATATGGTTTCCTCTTTGGAGTTTAATTATAACTTGTCATGCAAATGCTCTTATAAACATCGCAGTCCATCAATCTTGTCTCTGACAGAATACTTAATTTCCTCAGGAGGCAGAAATCTATCACCTCACCAGAGCTAAGAAAACATTAATCTGCTTCCTTTAGAAAGTCATGGCAGGGGCTGGCCCCGTGGCGTAGCAGTTAACTGCGCGCGCTCCGCGGCTGGCAGCCTGGGTTTGGATCCCGGGCGTGCACCGAGGCACCGCTTGTCAGGCGATGCTGTGGCGGCATCCCACATAAAGTGGAGGACGAGCGGCACCGATGTTAGCCCAGGGCCAGCCTTCCTCAGCAAAAAGAGGAGGATTGGCATGGATGTTAGCTCAGGGCTGATCTTCCTCACACACAAAATAAGAAAGTCATGGCAGGTTTATGGTTCACTCTGTGCTCAGTAGGGACTTACTAGAGTGGGGTGAGAACAGGGCTATCAGCCAACCCATCTCCACTGGAGGACAAGTGCACCCCACTTCTGACTTCTCTCTCATTACTCCCAGTCATCTCCAGGTGCCCCAGGCTCTCTCCTCGACCCCCATGCCTCTGTATGAACCACCTCCTGGCCTCAGAAAACACTCCCCACTTTGTCTACCTGAAGCTCTGCAATCCTTTGGGCCAGGCCTCCCTCCTGGGAAGTCCTCATCCACCACCCCAACCAAGAGAGATGAGATGGCCTTCCTGAGGGCATCTCCTGGGCTTCCCTCCCTCTCCATTCATTCATTCATCTCTCTTAACTGTCCATTTATGTGCTGGCATATCACATGATGATGGGTCTGTTTGAGGCTGTTGAGGGCAAGACCCCCTCCTCTATGCTCAATACCTTTCACAGGAACTGGCACACATTTGATGGATAAATGATAAATGGACAAAGAAATGGTTCAAAAAACCTTATTAAATAGCGATTCCTTCTCCTGTTGTGCAGCCTATGGTTTTTCACAGATTAAGCTCTTACAATGGCTTGAATTTATTCCTGGATTGATTTTTCTATTTTAAACTTGATTCTGTATGATCTGGAGAATTGCCACTTTGTTTTAAAATTTGGTAGCACAGATTTGACCCTAATACATTAAAAAAAAAGTTGATATTTTTCCTCATTTATTCTACAAAAGGAGAATGTAATTGGTATTGAATCAAGTTTGTGCATGGGCCTTTCCCACCAGGAGCATAATCTAGTTCCTCATTCACTTATTCTTTCCCTTACTTCTCCTATTAGGTCTTTATAATTTTCTTTGACAACTGTCTTATGCCCCCAGTTGAATTCATACCCTGTATTTAATGGATTTTATCGCTATTGTAAAAGGATTTCCATCCATCAAATCACAAATGCTCTGTATCGAAGAAGGGCTTAGTGCTTTACTAGAGCAGTGGTTCTCAAACGTTAGAATCATCTGGAGGGTTCATTAAAACACAGATTGCTGTGCCCCACCCCCAGAGTTTCTGATTCAGCAGGTCTGGGGTGGGGCCCAAAGATCTGCACTTCTAACAGGTTCCCAGATGATGCCGATGCTGCCATCCTTGGGACCACACTTTGATTCCCAGACCTAACTGAATAGGAGAATCACCTGGTGCAGAGCAGCACCCCATGAAATTCTCCTTCTGTAGGTCTGGAAATGTATCTTTTCTATATCTTTAAAGTTCCCCAGGTGATTGCGACGCCCTGCCAGGCCTGGGCACTGCTCAGGTGTAGGCCCATCAGTGACGGACTGACCCTCCACCTCTCTTACTCATGTGCAAGATATCATTATATAAAAGTGTCAGCTCATCATTGCAGCCAACTGAAATCTTTTTGAATCTAGATCCTATCATTCTGGTTTGACAGAATCTTCAGATTTGACAAGCCTCCCTTCGGTGTCTTCTTCCAAGTTGTTGATAAAAATGATGACAAGGTACCACGATGAGATACCACCTCATACTGCTATCAAAAAAACAGAAAATAACAAGTGTGGGAAAAGATGTAGAGAAACTGGAACCCTTTGTACTGTTGGTGGGATTGCAAAATGGGTGCAACTGCTATGGAAAATGGTATGGACGTTCCTCAAAAAATCAAAAATAGAACTACCATATGATCCAGCAATCCTACCTCCGGGCTTATACCCAAAAGGATTGAAAACAGAGTCTTGAGGGGATATTTGCACACCCATGTTTAATAGCAGTAGTATTCACAATAGCCAAGAAGCGGAAGCAACTCAAATGTCCATCAATTTTTTGGGGGGTTGCTATGGAGAGTGGCAGTAGTGATACCGGAAATCTATCATTCTTTTGCAAGGCTCGGACACAAATTGTGGCTTATCACAAATTATGAAAATTATAATGCTTTTAGTCGATTAGTAATAGCAATTTGTATTGGCACAACGGCACTCATTAATTACCAATCATCGCCACATGCTCATAAGAAAGGAAGAGACAGGTGTTATCTTCTCCTTTTTACATATATGGAAACTGAGGCACAGAGGGACTAAGTCATTCAACTAACTTCAGAGCTGTAAAGAGAATTCACCAGTATATAAGAACTCAAGAAGTTTCTTTTATAATTTATTGTCAGGGGAAAGAAGTTTTATTTTGTTTTGCTTTTCCCCTTGAGGAACTGGGATGTTTTCATTCTGATTTTAAAGTATACTAACTTACTGTTTCTCTTTTTGCCCTCAAATTTGCTACCCAGTCCCTGTTGCTCTGTTATCCTTCCTAATCAGCATGCTTGCTTTTCCCTCTTCTACTTGGTGCTGATTTTCTCATTCTATTGTCTTAGCCTTCACATCTATGTGACCTTCATTGGAACCTGCTTCAAATCGTTTTCTGAAAGAGGCAGGCTAGGAATAAACGAATAAACGAGTAAATGGATGAATAAGTGAATGAGTGAGTGAGTGAATGGCTAGTTAGCCAGGATGCCCAACTCTCTAATCAAGTGCTTTGTCTTCAGAATTTATGATAATTTACTCCAAGTTTTAAGATAACATATAGCACTTTGGGGAACAGAGCAACTCTGAATTCACACAGAGAGATGACAGACTCTGAAGGAACATCAAAGGAGCAGGGGAAGAGACGTTCACATGTTTGATGCTTTACCCACTTTCTCTGATTTAATCCTCACCACAACTCTGTGAGGCAAGTGTGTAGTTCCCCCTTTTACAGATGGGGAAAGCAAGGCTCAGAGGAGTTGAGTAACTCACTCTGGGTTTCAAAGCCAGCCTGAGGTGGAGCCTGGAACAGAAGCTGGGATGAAGTCCAGAGGCAAAGCCTTTTCAGACTAGATCTTGTGGTCTCCAAATCAAAACCATCTGAAAGGTTTCCCAAGTGGTGACAAGATGCCAACTTGTGGTTCACATATTTGGTGCAGGGAAGGGACCAGAGATTGAATGTGGAAAAAAAGAAGCTACAGACACCTCCCCGCTCCAAGAAAGCATGATTCTGCCATTTGGAGGCTCCTGATGGTTCAATGTGAGTGGACATATGCAGGGGTTCCCCGTGCCTGCCCCTTTCTCCCAGATTGTGGGGTCTCCCCACAGCACAGTGGTCCTACCTTTCTCGCAGTAGGGCTCCCCATCCTCCATGTGGAAGAGGCTGTTCCCGAAGGGCTTCTTGCAGGCTGCACAGATGAAGCAGGTCGTGTGCCATGTCTGTCTCAGGGCATGCATCACTTCCTGGGGGGAAAGAGCCTCAGCTCAGGAGAGAAAGGTCCAGGGGAGAGAGGGAGCTGGGCTTGACTCTCCACCAGGCCCTAGCCACTGCCGGGGCATCCCATCAGGAAGCAGGGCAGGAGAGCCCGAGAAGCGGGCCTTGGACAGGCCGAGGAAAGGCCCGGGGTGGCAGAGGAGGGATTCCCACTCATGCAGTGTTGCTGGGTGCCAGGTTCTGTGTGTGCTTACATAAGCTGTGATGCTTATCCCTCCCATCACACCTGGGAGGGAGGTACTGCTTGTTACTGCCATTTTACCAAAGGGGCGTGGAGGGTCAAGGCTACATGCAGGTGCATGGTGAGGTCAGGCTATGAAGCGACAACTTGCTTTGCAGAAGCTCCGCCACCACTTCAAGTTGTGTGGCCCAGTCATGTAATCATCTCTCGCTTCAAGTTCATTTGCTCCCTAGTTCATTGGTGGCAAACCAACTCCCTTCTAGGATAGAAACGGAGTTGTTCTCTTTCTGTCAGCAGCAACTTCTTGGCTTCCTAGTGGGATCCCCACAATCTTGGGAAGGGGGACAGATCCGCTGGGGAAAAGACAAGGGTCAGGGGAGAGGGATGCTGCCCACTTACCCCCATGATTTTGGTGTTGCACTTGGCACAGATTGGGGCAAAAAACTGCTCATAACACCGTTCACAGTAAACGTTGTTCTGCTCCTCCACAAAGCACACGTCTGCCAGGGAGGTCTTGCAGTAGGCACAGGTGAACTCTTCTGGGTGCCAGGAGCGGCCCATGGCTACCAGAAAGGGGCCCCTGGGGAAGCAGAGAACAGCACCTACTAAGGTGGCCCCAAAAGCTTGAGACCAGATATTTCAAGACCCCCAACAATATTCATACTTTGACCCAATAACCCTGACTTTTGCTATTGTTCTAATGAAATAATGTGAAATTTAGATAAAATTTCCATGCAAAAAGATGTTCATTGTTGCACCACTTAACAATAAAGAGAAATGGGGAAGTAACTCAAACATCCACCAGTAAGGACTGGGGAAGCGCATTATAGACTATCCATTCAGTTGACTACTGAGAATTATAATAAGAAGAGCAATAACGGTGGTGCTGATGCTAACATCTATTAAGTGCTTACTCTGTGCCAGGCACTATTCAAGAAGAAATTTGCATTTATTAACTTTAATGAATTTAAAAATTCTCACAACAATCCTATGAAGTAGGTACTATTATGATACTCATTTTCAGATAAGGAAACTGAGGCACAGAGAGGTTAATATAAGTTGTTCAAGGCCATGGTAGACCCAGGACACAAACCTGGGTAGTCTAGTTCCAGATTAGTAGTCAGAACAGTGGGACTATGAGGAAATGTTTTATATTTTAATTTTCACTTTTCCGAATTTTCTAACTCTTCTCTAATGAGTATGTATTACTTTATTTTTAAATAAAAGTGTTTTTCATATATACAAGCTCACCTGTCCCCCCTCCACACACACACACTATAAACATACTACATTCAAGCAGGCACCCGCCACGATCCCTGGCTTCTAAGCGTGAAATGACTTGTCTCCGTTTTAGTGTGGCCAATGCCCACCACAGCCCTGAGCAGCATGGGCCTGTCTGTGGAAAGACCCAGAAGCAACCCTAAAGGAGAGTTAGGTCAAAACTAGCATGGTCAGCTAGCTTGCGACATGCCTAATAAACCTACTGACAAGACTGTGATTCCCAGAACCCGGCCTTAGCCCAAGGGGGAGGTCCTGGCACCAGGCTCTGTGCTGGGAGCTTCACCCACTTACCTCATGGAATCCTCCCAACTCCCCAGGGAAGTGGGCGTCACACAGGTATGGCAGCTAAAGCTCAGAGTGGGTCAGACCGGATGGCGAGCCAGAGGGACCTGAGGCTGCCCTGCATGTGGCCTTCTCCATAGACCTGCCTCCTACCTCCCCTGCCCCACCTCAGGGCTCAGACAGTGGGCAAGCACCCTGCACCCCCGCCCTCCAGCACCCCAGCACAGGGGCACAGCTGGACCATACCGGATGATGCTGTTGCAGTGGCCACAGAGTGGAGTCCGGCTGCTGGCTGGGAAGCGCTCGGCCCTCTGGACAGTGCCCCTGGCAAGTGGGGACACCTGGGGACCTGTAGGGCTGTAGGCAGGGGCCGCTCGGGGAAGGGTCTGCTTACTGATGGAGGTGGTGCCCTTGCCAGGGGCAAACTTCTGAGAGAAGCTGTCGTCTGTCACCCACGGGGGGCGGCTGGCTGACTCCGCAGGGCCCCCGCTGTAGGCCGCCAAGGGTGCAGGGTTATAGCTTGGGGCAGGCAAGGGGGTATAGGCTGGTGCCGGGGAGGGGGAGTAGGTGGGGGCAGGAGAGGGGGTATAGGCAGGAGCAGGAGAGGGGGTGTAGGGAGTTGGGCTGTAACTGGCCCCCTGGGATGGACTGTAGGTAGCCGCAGGCACTGCAAGTCAAAAATATCCAAAGAAAACTGTGTCAGGAATTCATTTCCCAGCTTTCCCCACCCCCAGCCAGAGAAAGGCGACTTGAACATTAGATCGGTACAATTCCAGTTTTTACAGGAGACACGTTCCTAACTTCTTGATGCCCCAGATTTGAAAGTGCAGCAGGGAGCCAGGCGAGATAGAGAGCAGCCGGAGCAGAGCCCTCGGGGCTTGGCCGGGCTGGGAAAGGGATACCGCTATAAATATCTGCAGCTGTGCGGGGTGTGGCTCGGCCAGGCCTCGGCTGCCAGGGGCCTGCAGAAGATCGGAGTGGGGGTGGGGGTGCCGGGCAGGCTCATATCTGGTACCCTGGGTGGGAAGAAGGTGGGTGTGGCTCAGCTTGGCCTTGACTGGAACATGCTTTCAGTCGCACTCTGACCAGTGATTTGACATCAGAAATGCCTCAATCGCATGCGTTTGCTGAACCTGGACCTAGTCTAGCCTTCGGGACAAAGCAGATGGCAGTGCGTTTTCAGGTTCAGGTTTAGTACAATCGTTTTCTTGAACAACAGCTTGGCTTGATTTGTATGGGGGGGATATTCCACCTTGGTTTGATTAGAGTGGGGGTTCTTGAAGGAGTCATTCGGAGGGAGCCTGGGCAGAGAGGCTGGGATGACACAGCCCAGGTCCAGCTGCCTCTGGGGGACCCGTGCTCCCCCACATCACTTGGGTGGAAAGTGAGAGCGCATCCGAGTGACTGTGTAGAGGTTCCCAAGGAAGGCAGAGTGTAGAAAGAGAATGTGCTGCCCCACTCAGGAACCCCATTCTCCAGCTCATGGAGAACTGAGAACCTTTTTGGGGCGAGAGCACAAAGGACCACTGCAGCTGCTCACCTGGAGCCCTCTGAGGCCTGGGCCCTCAAAACCCGCGTTTCTTAGTGCTCTGCTGCCTCCACTGTGGAACCAGCGGGGGCAGACCCAGCTGCGTGTGTCCTGCACACACAGTCCAGCAGCATCCTCCTCCTCCAGCAAAGGAGGTTCCAGAAGCCTCACCTCAGCTCACAGTCTGCTCCTCTGGAAAGAGGCCTCATAACCCCCACCCCAGGAAGCATGTCAGGGCAGCCTCCTTCCCCATTCCTGAGCCTGGCCTGGGTGAATGGACTGTGCTGAGGGGTGCTGAGGCAGCCCCCACCAGGCACCAGCCTGGAAAGGCAGGCCTTTTTCAGGGCTAAAGGCTCCGGCCTGGCATCTGCTCTCTCCCACCTGGTTCCCCTGGATCACCTTGGGTGACTTGTGGCCTGCTGCTCCAACTCTGTAACTTCTGCTTCCGGCTGACTGGTCCTCAGAGCTGGGTGTCATGGAAACCCCTGCGCTGGGGGTGGGTTGGGACCAGGCCTGTGTTATGGAAAGCTGAAGGGGTAAAACCTTCCACAGCCCTGCCCTGGAGCCATCCCGGGAGTGATGCTGGCTTCCAAAAGTAAAACCCTCTTCATGAGGAATCTTCTTCCCACTTAACGAGGAGGTAGACCACGCACATAACAAATCATCTGGGTTACTCTCCTTTACAGTTGAGGTCACCGAGGCTCAGGCAGAGCCAGGAAGTGGAGAGCAAGTCTCCAAAACCATACTTTCTATCAACCCAAGCTGTGTCTGTAAAGAACACAAGTCTAACTTCCAGAAAATCTTGGTGCACTGTGTCATCGAGGAGTAACTGTCAACATAGAGGAGGCCCCATGCTCTGGCATGTAGCACAGCCATTAAGAGCACTGGGTTCAGGTTCCAGCTCTACTATATTCTGGCTGTGTGTCCTTGGGTAAGTTCCTTAACATCTCTGGGCCTGAATTTCCTTGTCTAGAAATGGCAATAATTCTTAGCACCTCACAGGGTTGTTATGAGGATTAAGGGAGATGAGAACTAGAAAGTGCTTAGCCTAATACCTGCATAGTGTGTGTGTCATTAAATGTTAGTGAGGATGGTGAGGATGGTGACTCCTGGGTCTCAGGGTCAGGATGAACTGTCAACTCATTACTCAGCCTGGTGGTCACCTAGGGGAGCCCAGCCCAGGTAGATTGTGGGATGTGGGGGGTGGGAGTGGGAGACGTGACACCCTGAAAGCAGATAACCTGGGACTGAGTCTACTCGCTGGTGGTGGAATGCATGACACCCCTGCCTGCCTCACAGAGAAGGGTGGGGACCTACCGTAGTGACACGATACATGCACTTGGTAAATTTGTGAAGCCCAAGTTCAACGTGTTGTCACCCTCTCTAACAACCTTGCATAGCTCCCAAGTGTCCAGAGCAGAGGGTCTCAAAATGCTGGGGACAGAGGTGATGCAGGGCACGCCACCAGGGAGGGGGCGGACTCTGAAGCAGGACTTCAGAGCATTGTCATCCCTCTCTGTTATCTACAATGGGGTTCTGTGCAAGATTTTGTTTCCTTTTTTTTGTAAAGTAGGGGAGATTAAGAACCCTAATCCTGGGCTGTCCAACACATAGCCCTATGTGGCTGTTGAGCTCTTGAAATGTGGCTAGTCCAAATTGAGAAACATTATCAGGGTAAAACACACACAGACTTCGAAGACTTAGTATAATACAAGAATGTAAAATATCTCATTAATAATTTTATATTGATATATTTTGAATATACCAACTTAAATACTAGAAAATGTATTTTTATTGTACAGTGCTGTCCTAATCAGAACACTGGCTACCAAGAACTGACTGCTTTCCCAGGCCAGGCCCTTTCTGTGCATTAGTTCATGTGGTACCCGCTGCGATCCAATGAGGCAGATACTATTTCCGAGCCCATTTTGCAGATGAGGAATTGAAGCTCGGGCAGCTTCAGTGACTGCTTCCAAGTCACTGAGCTCCTGAACTACCTGGCTGAGGCGGGAGGTCGCGGAGTCACACTCAACTCCAGGTCGGCTTCACCACGCCCTCGGCGGCAAAACACGCTTTAGCACGCCCCTTCCAAATAGGGCCCTTGCCCACTTTTCCTGCCTCCCTCCAGCAATACTAACTCTAGTCCCTCGGCCGGGCACACATTCTCTTCTCTCCTCGGAAGGCCTTCCAGACTCCTTGGTCCACCCTCCTTTCCTAAGCCCCACGACACGAGGGTCTCAGCGGGTCAGAGGCAGGCCGGAATCTGGACCCCGGCTGGGCTGCTTCCGTGCCCAGAGCTACCCTGAGCTGGGGACCTTTCCTTCCTCCAGGCACGGCCTGGCAGCTCCCGTCCCCGCTCGCGTCCCTCCACTCCTGGCGGGGTGGGGTCGGGGCGCGGGGAGCAGCTGCTTCGCGGGCCCCTTCCTTCTGTGCCCTTCAGCCTGGCTCGCCACGCCACCCCGACATGCCAGGAGAGACACTTGATACCCCATCTCCGCGCCCCGGGCTGTTGCTATTTTTGCGTGACGGAATTAAGCCTGTCCAAATTAGAAGGTGATATTTCAACTCTAATTGGCAAGTTCAAAAGGCCCCTATCGCACTCGGCGGCCTCGGGAATGTGTAATTAAACAAGGTGATTTCTGACTCATTCCAGGTCGGGCCTGGC